CACCAACATCTGAGCGTTTTATAATCAACTCATGGAGCGCATCTTACGGAAGAATCTATGATTTCCGACTAGTTTTAGCTCTACCAAGCAATCTATTTGCATCCAAAAGCACCCAGTCATCACTTAGCATCCGTTCAGAAAGGTTTCTTATGATTCTTCACCGGAGCTACCAAGCGGCGCCCCGCCAGCCCTCCGTTCCCACCCGTTCGCCCGTGCTGACCGGCCCTGGACCTGCGACGCTGCCGCCTCGCCCCTTAGTATGACAGGCGCGGCGGAGATGCGTTCGCCAGCCCGGCTCGCGGCCGCACCACGTACCGCGGACGGGGTGCGACCAGCGTGCGCAGCCGTCCATACAATCGCAGCGCTCCGGCCACTGCCGGTAGTGGTAGGGGTAGGGGTAGTGGTAGGGGTAGTGGTGGAGGCAAAAGCAGAACAGTGGCCCGGGCTGATCCCAGCGGACGAGAGGTGACCATGTGACCTGGCCTGACCCAAAGCGACCGGGGCTAACCCCTTTGACCCGTCTTGACCCCGTATCACCCAAATTTCATCCAACAACGCCCACAGAACAGTTCTTTTTTAAATTCTCTTCACATTTCCGTCCATATCTATGCTTCTAGACGACACATTGACATGAATCAAACACCATTCGAAAGCAAATTGGCTGGTGCCGCAATTTTTTCCTACCACGCAGCAAAGCAAGTGGCGCAGCCGCTTGTCTATACTACTATTTGAGGAGGGTGCGTCTGTCCGTTACCGAGGTCCCGACTTGGTGGTGCTTTGCGTGAACTGCAGGCCAGACCGTTGCACCTAGCCCGGTGAAATTTGCACAACTCATAGATCAAGGATGCGCGACGTGCCTTTGAGGGGTCTTAGCTCGATCGGATTGATAGGGAGCGCGTGGCGCGTGCTCAAAAAGTGCAAATTCGCGTCATAGACTTTACATGTATAAATCGGCGTGCGAAATCGGACGAAAACGGCTAATTTTGGCCGACACGAGTCCAGTTCCCGTGCAATATATTGGTGACCAGGGTTCCGACCGGCACGGGGAAAACAGCATCGTGTACAGAATTGAACGGGCTATTGAATGGTGTGCAATGCAGAGGATAGCACGCGCCACGTGCACCGGAGAGGGCACTTTTATTTGAAAAATTGCGGTTCTTGAGGGATTTTGGAATTAATTTTATTTTTAGGTGACCGTTTAATGGAGCGAGTTGAATCAACGCCTATTTGCAAGAGAAAGGTACCGCCTCTCATATAAAAATTGTGAAAAGCTGATTGATCCAAATCAAGGTGGTGCAAATCACAGGAGAAAATGGTGTTTGTCAATTTTGTGCCACTTTATTAATCACACGGGGTTTGCTGCATAACCTGATACCTTTGGCAATTGAATATGGTACCATTAAATAGAGCATTCAATTCTGTCCAATATTCACTCTTCATTTTTGCATACTTAGCAACAGTATCCTTAAAATGTAAATGTTCCAAACCATTACATTGTCATTTTTAGCGAAATTCATCGATGGCCCTCAAAAGACTTCACGCCAGTTTTCGAATCATTCTAAAGTAGAACGCATGATAATACGACACGGGCACCTCGATGCGATGTATCTTTTTGTTTTCTTACAAAATGCTTGGCCGTCAAAAAGCAATCGAACGAAATGGATATCTACCAACCAAATCGACACAGACCAACCCACGGGTCAAAAAATCCCCCCCCCCCTTCGCGTTGCGGAGCACGCGGGTAACCCTAGTTCTTATCTATGCATCTCAGAGGAGTGCAAGATAGAAATATCCCTGCACTGTAGACACAATGGCAAATAAACCTCAACTAGAAAGATAAAAGCATGAGGTTGCATGAAGAAAATACAATATTACCCGGGTAGTGTTTACGACAAAAAGGTCCTGAAGTCACCTAAATTGGGACAGACATAACGTCAGCTTTAAGAATTATGAACGGCACTAATAAAAGACGGAGATGGATGGTATAGTTAGGTGTCAGACCATGAACAACGATTACATAAAGGTCCTAGTTACACAGCATGCGATGCAATGCAATAGATACAATATTGCAATTTATCGAAGTCTATTGTGTTCCTTTGTAAATGGCATTGTGATGAATTCTTTGTGAATAGTTATTCATCACCTTCCATAATGACACTATTCTGGCAAAATAATGTCCCAGATATCTGCAAACGTTTTAACCCTATTAGTGGCAGGCTCCTGGCTACCCCATATTAGTGGCAGGGGGGGGGGGGCTGTTTACGACCCCCCCTTGATATCTCGAGATCTAACGGGCCGATTTTCAAAATTCAAACGGCATTCGATTTGGCTCAACGAGATCTACATTTCTAAAAAAAAAAAAATGTCAATAGGGGGGTAGAGGGGGGTAAAAACGGGCAAATTGCAGACACATTTTAGACTGTTTCACGGCCAGGTTTCTGAACCAATCTTAACGCAACTTTTGCCGATCGATAGAGAATGAACCAGGAATTCACATGGATCCTAAAAATATGCATTTTCAAAAATCATAGGCGGATACAGATCATTGAGATTGGGGGTACACAAAAAGTAGAGTAAATAAGGTTTTTGTTGGTACTGTTTCTAAAAAGGGTGGTAATGGTCTTGTTATGTTACAATTTTCTTATGAAAGAACGACTAAAATTGTATTGGTCATGCATAGGCGGTGTCAGGGCACCTATGTTGGGAGGTAAAACATGACCCCCTTTTTGGACGCCTGGATCCGCCTATTATAGCAAAAACGTGTCAAAAGAGGATGCACAATAACTTTGTATATGTTATCACATGATACCTTTCATTCACTGTTCGTAAAACTGGTGCAGAATCGTGATCTTCGCCCAAATGACTCGCTTCACGAATAGGACCCCCCAATTCCCAGTGCTCTGGAGCCGCCCCTGGTAAAGTTATGAACTTGAAATTTTCAGAGAATGTGCCCAATTTAGTTTTAGGAAAAGTCAGAAAATTTCAGCATCGTAGCTTCAGCGGTTTCGGAGATATTCCCGAAAAACCTGAGGGGTGGATAAAAACAACCCCCCCTGCCACTAATAGGGTTAAGGACTAAGGTAGGATGATCCGCTACAGGCAAACCTGAAGGAAAGAGCCGAAAATGGTGCGAAATCTCTGCCATTTTTCTTCTAAAAACAATAGGAACTGAGAAAACTACCTGGGCTGACCCATTCAGAGAAAATGAAGAAAGGCTTCTAATAGTAGAAAGTCAGCAACAAACATGGCCTTATCAGCCTCTAACAGAATGTTTTGGTCACTGTTCCAGCAGTTTGATATAGTTTGGCGTCTGATGTTGGGTATACTTCAGGAAACGGGCCTCACAACATACATACAGTATTGTCTGCTAAATGTAGTCGGCACGCGAAGGAAGAAAATGGCGACAACAAGGAAAGTCATAAGTATGTGAACGATCTCAACGAGCGTTCATTGGAAAACGGCTGAACGCATGAAGCATCATTTTTATGACAAATCAATCCCCAACATGACTTAGGCGCCTTTGGCCTAGATCTGAAATAATACAAATTATTGACATCGGCCTTTTGACGTCATGTTTTCTGTGGCCAAGTCAGAAGAGGAACATTAACTCCTCTCATATGTCACTCCACACATCGGCGCCTTCCATCGACTCTGGGAGGCCTGAAAAAATGTGATAGGATGTAGAAGCGCATTAAACCGCAACCAACTTCTACTTGATACAGCTGTAGCCCTGCATGGTAGTGTGCCTGATTTTATTGGACCGACTTTGTAGTTTTATTGCTCGTTCAGTGTAATAAAGGGAGTTTCGTATTACCATTCACTAATCATTTTATTTAGATACTTTATTATCGAGAGGCAATGGGAAAGACATGGATAATCCGAAAGCCGCAATCAGTCATTTGAACTTCAATGCAATGGGCATTCTTTTTCAATCACAGCGGAGCTGTGTTTCCTCAATCATCAACGCTCCGTTCAGACAAAAATAATAAAAAAGAATGGGAGCATGTCCACGTGAAAAATGCTGTTAAATTATGATTTTGTTTCAATGACCTAACCACGATCCGAATCCTGTCTGAATATCATCAATCAACGGCTTGGGACTTATGAAAGCTTGTTCTCCGGACTTGGCATGTCCTTCACCTGGTACGACATAACGAAGAAGAAAAGACAATTTTGAAAAGAGTTGAACCGATTTGGACAAGATCATTTAGACTGGCGACATTGATAAATTAACGGTATTCAGTGCAACAAAATACACATCACCGTCAACTTCTTCAAAATACGTACACGCTGGTTGCTCAATTATGATTTGAAGCCAACTGGGCCCACTGGCAAGTAAAACTCGACTACATAGAAAGATAAGGATATATGTTTCAAGCGAGTGGCTGAGAATCCGAGCGACGAAGGGGCGAGTTTTTTTTCTGGAAAACGAGAGGAAAAGATATCCAATCCACTAGTGAGCCATAAAGAATCCAATGTCTTTTGATGTAGAGGCTTATTACAGTTATTTGAAATAGTATGTTCAAATAAACCTATTTTTTTCATGGAAAAAATATTTAGAATAGTTTGTATTTAAGTCCTAAGTTTTATCACCACAACCATCATAGAATAGTACGGCTTTTGACGCATCGGCACTTGAACGCTTGATTTTTGGCTGTAAACCCTCGATACTTTATCTTTGCATCTCTCTCTCTCTCTCTCTCTCTCTCTCTCTCTCTCTCTCTCTCTCTCTCTCTCTCTCTCTCTCTCTCTCTCTCTCTCTCTCTCTCTCTCTCTCTCTCTCTCTCTCTCTCTCTTTCTTTCTCTCTCTCTCTCTCTCTCTCTCTTTCTCTCTCTCTCTCTCTTTCTCTCTCTCTTCTCTCTCTCTCTCTCTCTCTCTCTCTCTCTCTCTCTCTCTCTCTCTCTCTCTCTCTCTCTCTCTCTCTCTCTCTCTCTCTCTCTCTCTCTCTTCTACCTTTCCCTCACCGATTTTCTCACCATATCTAATCTATGGCACTTACTTGGTGGCACAAAGATCTCACGATCCCCTAGGGACCCGTTGCCGAACGCTCCTGACCCATAGTCCTTGCGCTTGGATGATCCCAACAGAGCTCCTTTCTCCGAATCCATGGCTTCTTCTGCACAAGATGTTGTGGGGCGACCACCGAGCTTTCCGCTGCTGCCAGGCACACTGTCCGAGGGACTCTCGCTCTGTGATGACGGCGGTAGGGGCGGATAGAGGTGGGCCGATGACGGAGACGCTCGCTGTTGTGCACCGGTCTACGGGCGACAACAGACTGGCGGCGTCAGCGGCGGCGGCGGCGGCGGTGGCGGCGGCGGCGGCGGCGGCGGCGGTGGCGGCGGCGGCGGCGGCGGCGGCGGTGCGGCGGCGGCGGCGGTGCGGCGGCGGCGGCGGTGCGGCGGTGCGGCAGACGATCGTGCTTGATAACGTGCGCCAGGATTGCCGAGGGCCTCTCACAGCCGCCGCTACGCTCAGAAAACTACGGCAATGAGGGATGGCCTGCCGGACCAACTGTGAATAAATTACTTTATGACGATGGATTCCATGGAGGCAAACTGTTCCGTTTCATTAGAGCCTTAGTGCTTCCTAAACGGCACTGTGTGTCGTGTCGGCTTGTTTTTCACGCCATACAATTTCGTCATATTGTTAGGCCTTGCGCATTTTGTCTTTTATTGCGTGGTGAGCCTTTTAAAGTTTATTTTTCTCATTAAGACTACCATTTTTTTTTTAGGAAGTCGGCACATGTTCATAAAATTCGAGCGCTACGGTGAGATGGGGGAAGGGGCGGGAAAACCACTAACGCATTTGATTAAGACTCCAACTCAAACTATAAGCCATGAAAACGTGTGCAACCAAATCCACAGCGTATATGTGCCACTGCCAAACAGAGTGGGTTAGGCTTCAGTGGAGGTCGATAAACTCTGTTTACTGTTCGAGTTTTTGTGGGCCGCTGTTGACCCAACAGAGAGGCGGGCCCAGGTACGTACAAACAGACTCCCTCTTTCTCTTACCGGTAGGAGGTCATCGTAGCTAAGGTTTCACTTGAAACGATCCTGTGTACCGAAACACGCAGCTAGTAAAAGATATTCTCTAAAAAAATGTATATGTACCTGCGAAGTCGTATGCAAATTGTGATCTCTATATGCAAAAGGTAGACAGTGCCTAATACTTATTACCTGTAAGTGGCCACAACAATCGCTGAGTCCCAGCTGCTATAAATTGTTTGCAAATCTTAGCCTACGCCGTCTCGATAGTTCGAAGTTGGAACCGACCACCAAGTACCGATCACCGACGCAGGGACCACCAACCACGAGCGATGGAAGGGAGGTGGTTTTTGCACTGAACCCTCTAAATGGGCCTTTGTCCTGGGCGTGACAGCGGCAATCTGTGTTTGATGGCTCGTCAAAAATGTTAACCAAAGCAGCTCGGTTGTTCTGAAGTTTCGACTGAAATTTTATGTCATCAAGCTGTAACCAAACCTCGTTTTCTCATTTCGTTAGTTGCTGTATAGTTGTAATGCTTTGGTGATCATTGGTCATGTGTTACGTAGCACACACAAAAGTATTAAAATTGTTGGCTTAGACCATGACTTTCCACGACTAAAGTCCGGACTTTTTCGTCTGTTTGGTGAATCGATGTGAAACTATGACTAAAGCAATGATAAATGACTACAACAAGCATCTCTAAAACGGCTGTGCAAAGTAAATGTCGCATGTAATGGATGATGATGATGATGATGATTATCGATTCAGTTTAAGAATCTACTTCGATGCTCGCATTCTTAGAGTGAGCTTTTTAACTGATTAGTTTGGCAAGTTAGTTGAATGTTAAAAGTTATTGAGATAAGCGACATTGAGTTGAGAGAGAGAGAGAGAGAGAGAGAGAGAGAGGAGAGAGAGAGAGAGGAGAGAGAGGAGAGAGAGAGAGAGGAGAGAGAGAGGGAGAGGAGAGAGAGAGAGAGAGAGAGAGAGAGGAGAGAGAGAGAGAGAGAGAGGAGAGAGAGGAGAGAGAGGAGAGAGAGAGAGAGAGAGAGAGAGAGAGAGAGAGAGAGAGAGAGAGAATCGTGCATTAAAAGATTCATAGTTGAGGTTAGTTTTTAGTAACCGCAAGCGCAATGGCAATCACACATGTCTTAGCTCAATGTATGATGTCAGCACCCAGACCATTGGCCCTGGAGCTCCTGCACTCACCTTGCAGGGCGCAAGTCACCTAGAGCTGGAGAGTGCAGGCCGCATCGGTGTGTGTCCTTGGTGGCTCACAGTTTACCTAGCAACAGAAGTCGTTAGCAACAGGGTCTGATGTAGCCATAGACAGTGTACATTGTAAATATCTCTGACCACAGGTATACCTACCATAGGCTTGTCACATGGAATACCTATAGGCATTCCCTGTGATAAGCAGTCACGTCATATCGGCACATTAGCATTGCTAGTCTGAAACCGATTAGCACTGGAATGCGCTAATTGGAAAACTGGGAGATGGATAATCTCAAAACAAATGTTCTCTGACACAAGGGTTGCAAAACTGTGCAGTGTGCATGCATTTGAATTTGAGGTAAGCGCGTAGCGTGTTTCGTCCCCATCCCCTTCTGACCATTTCAATTGACCGACAAGTCAGACAACAATGAATAGCTCATGCACAGACTTCTTATATAGAGAAGTCTGTGGCTCATGATAAAAAACGGATATATTCTATAGATCCCGGTAAACCATCGCGGGATTATCCATCCCCAGTGTATGCATCATCAACTTCATTAAACAAAGGAATTTCTTAGCAATGTGTCACGTCTGTAAAGTTATAGCGATGAGCATTAACCTTCGCCCCAGTGCACTATGGTTGGAAACGGCCTCACGGATGGCCGGGGGTCAACGCGAAAAAAATGTTTTGCCCATAACTTGTTAATGCATAGACCGACTGCGATGAAACTTTGCATAGGTATACCAGTGTCTTTCGTGCATCATACAGTAACTCAGAAATGACGAGGTCACGTCACGTCACGCGTGTGTGACGTCATCATTGCAAGTATGTTATAAGTCGCCTGTCTTTCGTTATGTTATCGATATCGCGAGGCATTTTGAACATGTTTTGAATACTGCTATTACTGAATGGATATTGTTGTTATGCTTTAGGGCAAGAAATATCAAGGTAGTGACGCACAGTGTCTTACTATTGGTCATAAAGGGTCAAAAATTTGGAGAAAGAGTATTTATGATTTTTTTTTAGATTGGGCAAAAAAGTAAGAAATAAAATGACGATCAAATGACAAAACATGCGTCAGATTAACCCGGCAGTTGCTGGGGTATTTCCCCATCCGCCGTTTGCCGGGGGGGGGGGGGCGTTCAACGCCCCCAGCCGATAACTCGCGAACAAATAGGCGCGGCGAAACGCACGAGGCGCGGCATACGAAAGAAGAACGCGACGAGACGATTCACATGAATACTTTAAAGTTGAATTTCGAGGTCACAGGTCGGGTCAAGGTCAGGTCAAACACTTGAAATCGGGCTTTCAGTAGCATGGACTTTAGAACCTCGCAATCGGTGCCTCGCGTTTCGCGTTTCGATTATATCGTCATCAGTTGGTCCTAAATAAATTCGGTCATCAGTTGGTCCTAAACAATCTGTCACAACTGTCACAACTGTCACAACCCTTCATATAAGTGCTAAAAGAGTGTCAGATCAATGTAGGGGTCAGTCAAACATAGGCCACTGGCCAGGGTCAAAGTCAGGTCAATCAGGTAAGCACATAACCCCGAAAATTAAAACTGGTACCTATTCGCAGCCCATGCATGACACATGTTTTATGGGTACTTTTGGGCGTAGAACACGATGGTGACATTCATTTTATCATACGAGTAAGTGGCTGGTTGAAAAAAGATCAATTTCAGAAATGCATGATGCATCATGGTCGTGAAGTAGTCACGAGAAACTGCCAACATTCAGTTCAAGATTTTGGAAAATGTAGAACGATGATCAAAAACCATAGATAGCCATTTGATTTGCCATGGTATTGGCAGTATAATGGCGTTTACAGCATGTCTGTATGTCTGCTCTGTCGGTGGATATCCATATCCATACTCCAGGATATCCATACACGTTTGCACGATATCCATACTCCAGGTGCAGGGGCGAGCAGTTACTTCTTACGAGGGGTGCGGAGTCGAAGTCAGAGTCGGAGTCAGAGTCGCCCAGAGTCGTGGCAACGAGCCAGGAGTCGGAGTCGGAGTCGGGGTCGGTCAGGAACTCAGGAGCCCGCAGTGGAAGTCGGAGTCGGTCCGAATCGGAACAGCTCCATCACGACTCCGAAACACTGGCAGGGGTCCGGAGTCGGAGACAGAGTCGGCCGGAGTCATAGCAACAAGTCAGGAGTCGGAGTCGTAGTCGGAGTCGAATTTGGCGCCACCACGAATCCGCAACCCTGCTTCTTACCACCATTTATTAGGATAAGCGATTGCAAGACTGACGAGCCGACCTGGTGCTAACGAAGCGACGGGTAGGTACGCCTCGGGAGATGAAGCTTCACAGACGATTTTGCGCACAAGTGCGCAGTCTGCTTTTACGTTCCCCTTACGCAGAATTGAACAGAGATTTATTCTGCCAAAAAGCTCAATGGAGGTCGATGGAGAACTTTTTGTATGTCCAATGAAACATAAACGTAATTTTGCAAATATTGCTGTGGTGACACTCCAAACAGAGTGCAATGCCGTTCCTGATTTTGAACACGCATGGGAAAAAGAGTCACTCCACTCGATAGCCAATATAACAAGGATTATTTTGATATATAATAATCCAGTTTTACAACGTCATGGAGGTACTCCACATGCTATCACCAGCGCGGTTGTTTAAACCTTTGACGGCGCACCAAAAAAGCCACTATCAGAAACTCCCGATTCCACGTACGATAATGGAGACTAAATGCGCAACTAAATAATTTGTTCTGCCCAATTCAAAACATTTCATCAATTTCCAACAGAATGACACCCCAAATATACATATATTCCGAAATTGCCCACGGCCATCCGTGAGGCCGTTTCCAACCATAGTGCACTAGTGCAGTGGGGGGGGGGGGGGGCATATGTTACCACCCTGTCGCGTTTTTGCGTGTGAATAAAAAACCGCGGCGTGTAGCACCGCGCCGCTCAGGGTAGCTTTTGGTACATCAATTTTAGACAATGTGTGAAATTTTTGACCCCAGGTCATGTCAGGTCAGGTCACCAGGTCAAGTTATCTGACCAAGCCTAAAAAAAGACTTTGCAATCATGTCCAGCCTGCAGTGTTTGTCAGAA